ATACCATTTATATATATATCTTAATTTGAGTGTACAGATTATACCTATATACTAGAAACCGTACGTAAATTAGTTGAAACATTTTGTATGTATAGGTATGTAAGTACATTTGACAAACTCGTCTGACCTCATAGGATAATCCTCCGCTGGATAAGTTTTGGTAAATCCTATGAAATTCAGTTATTTTAGTTCCGCATAACCACTCTGAAATTCGATATCTCAGAGTGGTTATGGGGAAACTTAAATAGCAATTTTAGGACATCGACACGAGAGGAACGAAAACGTGGTTTTATGATATATGGGATAAAATATCTAGTCTTCTATACAAACACAACCGAAGAACTGACATTTAATTCCTAAATGAACATAACATTGTGTCATAGGTCAAATTTATTTGTTCAGTGTATGTTCAATGGTGTTAATATGTCCTTTGATTGAGTTAAGCTATTTCAGTTGATATTTTATAGTGTGTCTTTCTATGTTGTGATGTTACACTATTGTTTTAGGAAAAAGGGTGAAGGTTTGGTACCATTAAAACGTTTAAACCCGCTGCATTTGTTTGCACCTGTCCTAAGTCAGGAATCTGATGTTCAGTAGTTGTCGTTTGTTGATGTGGTTCATAAGTGTTTCTCGTTTCTCGTTTTTTTTATAGATTAAACCGTTGGTTTTCCCGTTTGAATGGTTTTACACTAGTAATTTTTTGGGGCCCTTTATAGCTTACTGTTCGGTGTGAGCCAAGGCTCCGTGTTGAAGACCGTACTGTGACCTATAATGGTTTACTTTTATAAATTTTGACTTGGATGGAGAGTTGTCTCATTGGCACTCATACCACATCTTCTTATATCTATAATCATGAAACAATAAACCGTAGGTCACATTGACGTGTAATATATGTAGTGTATCGACAGTTGAGTAGCGGTGGAGTAGCGTGTGCTGGTTTCTGGTTTCGTAACTGTTATGTGTCTTTCCGTTGCAGTCTAAACGAAATTTTGATTGGTGTGTTATGCGTGGTCTTTTATTTTTTTCTACACACGTCGGGCGGGTCCAAAGAGACCCATTATCTTCAACAAAAATACTGTCAGCGCATTTGAAATGGAAAAATGTGTTTATACAAGTTAATATGTCAACAAAAATACTTTTAGCGCATTAGAAGTCGAAAATATATGAATGTCGGAAGACGTTAAAACACATGACTGCATGATTGCAAGAAATGTAGTTTATATTGCACAGGTTGCACCTTTGAATACGGTATTCTCCTAACCGAGTATAGAATATTCTGAAATTCTGTGACATCACAAATATTCATACTAGGTACTTCGATGCAAAGACGTATCCAATTGTGTATAAAATTGCAATGAATAAGTAAACACATATTTTAATTTATTAAACATTGTTTTCAACAAGAAACTGCTTTCTATGAATTAAACATGAAAATCCCCTCTCCTCTGTAAAATTCATCCCAAACAGATACATTGCCATGTGATCTGTTAGAGTCCGCGTCGTTTCCCTACGAATCCCGCTCGCACCGAGTCATTCGCCCTCTTGTGTAGTATTTACGATTTACGTCATAACACTACCATACTGCTCTCTACCTCTTTATCGGCTGGTACGAACACAAAGCGCTTTCCAAGGACTTGGCTGTTATTTCTAATACTATAGGAATGAACGTATTATTACACGGCTGATCTATTTGAACGTATAGTTCAGTTAGTTTAATGAACAATGAATTCTTTACTATAGCCACTGTAAATATAGAAACAACTTGGTCAAACAGGTTGGCCAGCCATCCTTTTGCTGTCCAATAATTTTATTGGCAAGTACCGGTATATAGTCCTTTTGACTTCTATATGTAAAATTAATCTTTATAAATAAGTGAATAAAAATCAGGTTGTATCATATGTCTCTTATAACCACTAAGCCATTGTATTTCAGTATCATTTTGTTGATCAATTTTACGATAAATTTGAATTTTAATCGCATTTAATTGTTATCTATTTAAGATATAGATCTCTTGATTTCGTTAACATGTGTTTATCAAGAATTGACACTATAACTGAAACATATATCTAGTTTGGCCGTGATGTTCTTCTGCGTATTTAAGGCAGTACATATCTTATTATAATCCCTCTTAACTTCTTCTTTTTTTGTTGTTGTAATAATGGTTATCTGCTATTGGATGTGCTCTAAGTAAGCCGGATAATATTATTAATTGTTATGTAATACTATCATTTTTTTCGACAATTATATTCAGGATTGCTTTTTTTTATCTTTCCGGAATGATCTATCTTCGTATATTTGGTGGTGTAATACGGTTAACAACTAGTCACAAAGCAACTGCATGGTGTGCGTCTGCAAATTATGCCAATTATTATTCCAGTTTCACAGATACTGGTATAAAAGTAATAAAGTAGTGCCTGAACCCACCGACATTAACAATTTACAGGTCCCGATGGCACATAAAAGGTAGAGACTTTGCCTTTACTAAATGCAGATACAAAGCTTTATTATTCACTGCATGTCCGTTAACGTACAAGTAAGGATCAATAAAAATCATTATTATATACTTAGTAGTAAATACAGATAAATTGTATGTGTAATACAATCATTGGCAAGCGTGCTGTATCAGCCACCCGTGATGATATCGATATCAGCACGGTTTCAAAGGCTTTATCACACCTTTAATCTGTATGACGTCACGTCATCGATTGCAGTCACTGTTGCAAAGGCTTTATCAAACCCCTAATCTGTATGACGTCATGTCAAACCTATAATCTGTATGACGTCATGTCAAACCTATAATCTGTATGACGTCATTTCAAACCTCCTTACCTGTATGACGTCATGTCACATAAAAAACATCTACGTGAGGTATATGTATATAATAAAGTGTATATGATATGGCTTTTTCAATATCACACACCGTATCAACCCTCAATCAATATAATCCCTCGAGCAGAGCTTTTGGGATTATATTGGTGTCGGGATTATATTGGTGTCTCGGGTTGATACGGATGTGATATTGAAAAAGCCATATTATATTCTCTATTAACAGTCCTATCAGGGGTAGGACCTTTATCGGGACTCCGGGATCGGGTGTTTTTAAGCTCGGGATTTCGGGATTGATCCTTTCGGGATCCGGGAATTCTTTTTTCGAATTTCGGGATGTCGGGATTTCAATTTTTTTAAATTCGGGACCTCGGGATTCCATGTTTTTAAGCCCGGGATTTCGGGATCAGGACCCCTCCAACCCCCTCTCCTATGATAATAAAACTGTGCATTCAAAGTTACATTATTATGTTACTAAAGCTCTTTAAAACACTATTTTCATCCCTGTAAAAGTTTTAGCAAAGAAAAACTTGCTGAAATCCGAAAGCACTGCACAAATCTTAAGGATCTGTCCATCATCGATCGTAAAACTAATCTGCACATAGAATAATTTGCACATTATACATTGAAATTGAAATTGGCAATGACGATCGGTTCACTGATTCTGAACTTTACGACAAAATAGATGAATTCAGCTTTCCAATTCTGAACTCGAGTTCCATTTCTATGTAGCATTATTCCTGCAGCCCCTGCATATGGATTACATGTATATATGTCCCAGATGATACGATATTCCAGAACTTGTGTTTCCTGTCATGATTTCCTGCGTAGTGGATTATTTCTGCTTACAAGATGATGATGGCTGCTAAACGTCCAGTAGCAAATTAAATGCATTTTCAGAACAAGAACATTTTGATGTGATAACAATATGAACGCTGTTGTTATCACTTTTGATGTTAAGGGACTTTCCGTTTTGAATTTTCCTTGGAGTTCGGTATTTTTGTTGTTTTATTTTTTTGTGTACTAGACCGACACCGGCTGAGTCGGATTTTTGACGTGCTAGCTCATAAGGTATACAGCAGTCCGCAGGAAGACATGTCACCCTACACGGACACATTATTCCGACTCCGATCCGACCAGTCTTTACTCTTACTACTAAATGCCGTGTGCTGGGTGGAGAAGCTGCAAATCACAATTTTCAAGTCTACGGTTTAACCCAGCCGATGATCGAACCCACGCACTCGAGGCGAATGCGCTACAACGCCCGAGACTACCAAGGCGGTTTCTGCTTACAAGGCGAAAGCATTTGGATCAAAGATCTAAAATGGTAAAGTTGATTTCATACCTTGGAAAATGTACAGACACTATCACGATTTGGTTGATCGGCATGGAATATCTCTGTCATATATATGACCGCGGATATGCCGTTCCAATTCTTGTTGCCCAAACCCCGTAATTTGTTTCTCTATTATCACGGGACATCACCGAATGCGATTTATCACCGATTTTTTACTTGATATAGGAGCAACATGATTCCCAGGTCGCCACTAGTAGAGCATGATCATCATCGTTTGTTTTTTTTCAATTTAAGATTTTGGACTGTCCCCTTGGTATCTCGATCTGTCTCTTTTTCTTGCAATAGTTTATTCGAGTGATTTCTAAGTAGTAAATCGTCAGATAATTACACAGAAACATTATTTATCAAGCCACACTGTGATTAGTAAATCATGACTGATATCAGTATATTTTGTCCCAGAGCCACTACAACATACATGTTACTATATATGATATACTCGTAATAACATTTCAGTCGCTCACCTCCGTCCGGAACAGCATTTATAAATGCTTTTAATTAAAAGTCCGTAGTAGGACAGTTGAAAAGTCCATTATATTCTACTAAATGAAGGCTATCGATTAAATGTATACTTAAGTGCTATAGGTTCATTCGTACAGAAGAATAGTTAATTTCAATAAAAAAATGCATTATATTTCAATATGCATTTTGTCATAATTTATATCAATTGATGTTGACAACACAAAGGAAAGGATTTAGTTTAACAACATTTTAATTTTTCCAATATATTAATCCTCTGCTAATTATTTTTGTTGACTTGTGATGTCTGTATTTAGATGTAATGTTAAAGCTGACGTGTATTTATCTGGTTTGATTTGAATGAATTGACATGGCATTGAAAATGTGACGGAAGATCTCTGTAATTTCATTGATTATCAAGTTTGATTCGCCATCGTCTTAAATAGACATGACATGTATATGCACTGCCGGGTATGTGATTGTGTCTTGCTTCAAAATCGTGTTTATAAACCGTGAAATAGTAGTTTATTAACAGTGTGTTGCTATGTTTGGCCAAGGACGTATATATGTTAGTTATGAATCCTAGCTTGGTTTGGTGAAATCAGAGACATATATTGTATTATATGTCTCTGGTGAAATGATATATCAATTGATAATGACGATTGTGGATTTCTGTTCATACAAACAAAAATATTAATTTTGAGTGAAAGAATGTGTGAAGAAGGAAAGGAAAAATTATTCAAACCTAAGAAGAAGGTTAGTTGAACGCAGCTTTTCCGTTATACTTGAACGGCATTATATCTTATATATTGTTAGCTATCCTCTCCGAAGCTTTATACGTAAAACAGACAACATTTGACGATCAATAAGTTTCTATTCTAATTTTTATATTTTTCACTTGAAATGGGTTTAAAAACTAGCATAAACCATATTTTATACAATAAAGACATTGTAACATTGCGTTATATGTCTCGAAAGAAAAACGAATGAGGAATTTCATATTTTAGCCGAAACATAAATTAATATAGTCAGACTTCTTTCAGTTTCTAGCGATCCTTCAATTATTGAAGATTATTCGCCGGGTGTCGACTATATATTTTTTTTATAAGGTCTTATAATTTACAAGGTAACCAGAAAAAAAGAACTTGACTAAATAAAAAATAAAAATAATGTATGTATATTTGAAAAATAACATTTAGATAAAACTATAAACATTTGACAACAATAATAGTTAAGGATAGAAAATTGGGATGAGAGCAGATTCTGAGATCATACTCAGTCTTGAATCCCTGTACTGTACTGCATGACACTATTTGTTGTGGCAGATGATTCCAATCTATAATTGAACGTGGATAAAATGAATATTTATAACTGTCTTTAGGTGTTCGTATTTGCCTAAATGAGTGTTATATCGTAGATCCAAATTATAAGTTAATCAACATGAAACTATTTTCATATTTGGTAATGATGTCCGAAGAATGCGTTTTCTATTTTAAATGACTTAGGATTTTGCAATAACAAATCCTTGATTAGGAAAGAGAGGCGAGAGATACCAAAGGGATATAAATCAAACTCATAACTCGAAAACGAACTGACAATGTCATGCCAAAAAACGACAAACGACCGAAGACAAACAATAGTCCTATACAAAAATACATTAAGATTTCAAGATTGTTAACTATTTCGATCCGTTGTAGCATATTGTATTGGCTTTCCCGATTTGTCGCTATCTGATTGGCCGATAATGTGATTTCCCCGGGAAACCCCCTTAGACAGAAAAAAAACATGGCGATAACTTAGGTTCACTGTTTATCTTGAAAATGTCCACTGAAGTAATCGACTTGAGCACACAAGAAGACATTATTTGCATAAGCGACGATGATCATGAAGTTAAAAAAGCAAAGGCGAATCAAGTCTACGATACTGAAAGATTTGATGATGTTGAGGAAATCGAAGTCTTGGAAAAATCGGAAAGTCCACCCCAAAGTCAAAGTCGAAACTTATCCTCAAAAAATGAAATAGATATTGAATCATTGAAGCTTGCTTTTCAAAAAACATTACAGGAGGTAAATATGACAATGAACAAACACTTTTTTTGTGACAATCGACAGTGTTGCATCATTTACATATATAATTTGTTTTCTTTACACTGTAAACAAGAGAAATTATGACTTTTATAATTTATGTCTTCCAAAACATGCTTTACTTTTATATACACATGACCTATTTTGATCCAAAAGTAACCAGGTAATTTTTATTGATTGTTTGCTATGGAACTGCAGCTGTTTTGGTCCTTTTAATTTTTTTTTTGACAATATACATGTACTGTCTAGTGTCTTCCCTTCAATCCCCTATTTTCTCTTTGAATGATTTGTCATGTGACAGCGTAATTTCATTTTGTGCATATAACTTGACAAGATTTGCCTCTTTATCCATTCCAAAATTTAAAGGTAGTACATGTCTACCCATTTGGGGGCCTCAGTGGCTGAATGGTCTAAATAGTCTAACTACTGTATCACTAGCCAGTCAACACTGAGGTTGTGAGTTAAAATCCCGCACATGGCAAGTGAACTCGACTCCAATCTTAATTGACTAGGATTGTCAGTTTTCCTACCAAAGGTCGTGGTTCTTTCAGGCACTCCAGCTTCCTCCACCATTAAAAACTGACCGCCACTTAATAGCACAGTAGTGTTGAAAGTGGCGTTAAACACCAACCAATCAATCAAACTACCTCTTGCTAAAATTAGTGTCAATGATTACAAGTACATGTACTCGAAGGAAATAATGGGAAGCCACAATTTCTTGTTAAAAGTGGAAGCATTTGTTTCGAAAAAATTGGGTTGAGGGAAATAAAGCTATAGTTTGCGCCACAGGGGATTAGTACGTGAAGAAAAGTTACATTTATCAATGTTCCACATTGACGGCTCTCTGTATTGCTCAGAATAAGTGAAAGTCATCTACAGTCAAGTAAAAGTTGTTGTGACTATGGACTTGTCTGGTAGGCAAGTAAAAATTAAAAGTTAAAAATGTTGAAAAATACTGTAACTAAGTCTTAATTAATTCTGTTTATTACAAAAATAATCAGAACAATCAGCCCTGATAATATCACCAACATACATACTTTAAGATTTTCCCTTCTAACGTAGACATTTTAAAAATATTGGCCAATTAGAGTATGATTCTGTTGTTGACGCATTCTTTGATGAATCATTAGACACGAAATTTTTATAAACCAATCATATACTTGCATATAAACACAAATTTAGAAATATAAAAATTGATAGGAATATTGGAAGGATTACATGCTTCCTCATAGGGTTCATCTGACTGTGACGTAATTTTTATTGGCTCATTGGTCATCATTAAGTTTTCTTAATTCGGGTTGTTTCTCCTGTAATTCAAGCTTTAAGTTAACTATATTTGGTGTATTGTTTGATTGTAAGGTGCACATATCCATCTTGATGGGGTAATCTTCCCTCGGTCTCATTTACAAGGACCATAATTAATAATGTTCAGTTTATGTGAATCAGTCATGATAAGTAAATTATGTGAGACATTTCTGTGTGTTTATGTACCTGTAATGACTTTTTTTAGGAAACTGGACTTAGAAAACCATTAAATGAATGATAATGCACATGAATTACTGCACACATTGAAATGAAAAAGATGACTAGCACTGAAATTGCCAGGAGCACAAAATTGTATGGTGCATTACCTGTTTACAAACTATATTGAGTAATATGAGACAGGTGCTAGGTGATGACCTACTGAAGGTTATGCACGTTTGTTTTTGTCGAGCCTTCGACTTTAGTCGAAAAAGCGAGACATAGCGATCCTACATTCCGTCGGCGTCGTCATTGGTGGCGTCCGCAAATATTCACTCTGTGGTTAAAGTTTTTGAAATTTTAATAACTTTCTTAAACTATCCTGGATTTCTACCAAACTTGGACAGAAGCTTGTTTATGATCATAAGATAGTATTCAGAAGTAAATTTTGTAAAAATAAAATTCCTGTTTTTCTGTATTTTACTTGTAAATGGACTTAGTTTTTCTGCCAGGAAACAATACATTCACTCTGTGGTTAAAGTTTTTAAAATTTTAATAACTTTCTTAAACTATCCTGGATTTGTACCAAATTTGGACAGAAGCTTGTTTATGATCAAAAGATAGTATCTAGAAAGAAATTTTGTTAAAATTTGTACCTGTTTATCCATGTTTTACTTATAAATGGACTTAGTTTTTCTTCCAGTTAACATTAAATACAGTCTGTAGTTAAAGTTTTTAAAACATTTATTAGATTCATAAACTATCCTGGATTTATATATACCAAACTTTGACAGAAGCTTCTTACAATCAAAAGATAGTCTCTAAAGGAATATTTTTATTGATTTTTTTCCTCATTTTTGTTGAGCCTGCGATTAACAGCAAAAGTAGGCGAGACACCAGGTTCCGCGGAACCCTTACAAATTTTTTTCTTATCAGAATATTTTTTGGTAATCAGATATGAAAAATTCCAGGAAATTGAATGTCCCTGCATGATGTTTTACATAAAGAATAAAAACTGAAAAAAGTTTGATTGCTGTCATGTGAGTGCTGTTGAAGGTCTTCTGTGTTATTGTGTATAGACCCAAATAGACTTTTGCCATTAATGTACCCTTTAGGAGCATACAAAGTGTATAAAGATGCAGACCAAAACTGTTGAATATACTAAAGTTAATTTTTCATGAGCTTTTGAGTTTTTTATGCAAGTATCAATTAAAGTGTTTACTGAATCTGAAAAATGAACCGAGAAGAAGTTGTATATAATATTTATATCACATTATTGAGGGGCTAAGGACACATAGTGTAAAGATTTTGTCATCAATTACTTACATAGATCTACTTCATTTGAACTTTGGTGGATACATGTAGTTGTCTCATTAGCAATCACACCACATCTCCTTATTTTTATATTGGCACTAAGTAGCACAATTGACTTCTTATCGATCTTCTTGATAATATATTTAAATTATTTTTTGTTCATATTTGTAATTCTTGTTACCATAGTAGAGTTAGTCTGATATATTTCTTTTTGAGGAAGTTTTAGTAAAAAATATTATTGGGAATTAATTTTTATAGCTCAATTGAGTTAATGAAGTCCAGTTGAGGTATATGTGTGGAAGCTTCCTTTGCAGATATACTTATCATTACATGGTAAAGCCTAAAGGACCATTTTTTTTCTTTAACAGGCTTTTTATACAAAAACATGGGTGTAGCTTATTGTACTTACAGCTAACCTGTAAACGTACATGTATTCTACTGACATCTTTAAATTTACATGTTAAGGCCTGTTTAGGAATATATTCTCTCCAAAAATATGTGAGGTCTATTAATGTTCAATGATGTACTTGACTTATTGTTGTTTACTATACTGTATATGTAAATAGCCAATCTACAGACTAGCACCATCTAAGTGCACACTTTTATTTATTTGTTGCTATTGGAAATAGAACAACTTAATTACCTATAACATGTATAAGGATTAAGAAGTAAATAAGATTAATAAATTTGTTGACAAATAAGATGTTTGTTAATTACTTAAAACATGGGTATCATTGTCATCACATTTTATATATATGTGATTTGTTTTGACAAAACTTTTGACATAATTTTAACACCCTTAGTAGAATACATTGATTTTACACAGATTAAAAAATGTAAATAAAATTTCAGCATTTTATAATTTCTTCAAACACAATAGAATGTGACACTTTCTGTAATTTACTGACATTAATTAAATTAACAGAGGTACTACTTGTGAAAACATGTCACCTGCAGTGACAAGAATGTGTATATACATGTAAGTTACGTCATAAAAGGTCAATCACTGATAGAGATGTCTACATGTATATAAAGTTCCCCTGGTTATCTAGAACTACATATTACATTGCATATAGGGATCTAATATTAGGACAAAAAGGTATGGTAGATGGAAGCGCACATACTTTGGACATAATTATGACATATTAAAAATTACAAGGATTTTATGATAACATATGTATTCATAAATTTCTGCTGGGCTTAGATATTTTTTGATTTAAAAAAATACAGAAAAACAGTCATAAAAATTCCCTCCTAAGAGCTTGACAAGAGCTTGCCCGTCTATTTCTTAGTTAAATATGTTGTAATAATTCTGTAAGAGATCTGGTACAACCTTAAATTTAATTAAATAATTTAATTTACTTTTTCTTGCAGAGGAAAAGTATGGGATGTACAAAAACACCACCTCCAATTAAGCCATTAAAGTTTCGTCAAAAGACCTGGTCTCAATTAAAATCGGAAAAGGAGAAAGAAAAAATGGTGATGTCTCCAAAGATGCCTAGACTAAACAGAGAGCCAGTCTACATCAGCAGCGAATCAGAAAATGAGGAGGAAGAAGAGGAACTTCCAGATTTAGATGATTATTCTGAAGTCATTAATATATCTGACGATGAAACAGGTGAATTGTCAGGGAAAAAATCAGTGTTAAGCTTAAACTGTACCTCGTTAGATTCTGACAATGAAAGTAAAACTAGTATAGATAGATCAAGTTACTGTATAAGTACAGATGAGGATGAAGAAGGAACAACAGTTGTTATGGTCCAGATTGTGTCTTGTTCAGAGGACACTGATGATACAACATATTCTTCACCAAAATGTAAGAGACGAAAAATGTCCAATTATCTGCCAGACAGATCATTAGCTGATTATACTGAAAATAAAACAGAAGATGATTGTGACCTGGAAATAATTAGTGAAGAAATTGAGAAAGAAGATAAAACAGAAGTTGTTCAAAAGATATGGACTGATGAAAATAAGACAAAACTTGCAAATTTACTGAATGGTGTTAAAACAACATTGAATTTAAAAAATAAGTCTGCGCTACAAGACCAGAAAGAATCAGAATTGAAAGAAACAGCAGAAAATTCTAAATCAGTATTGAGGGAGATTTCTAATTCTCCTACTAGTTCTCGTCACTTTACAGACTTACTTAAGTGTGATGATTCTGAAGATTCAGAAACTGAATATGTTCAAGTAAAGAAGAGGAGACGCAAAAATAAAATGAGAAAAATTGTTAAAAAGGAAGATTCTGATTGCGGACAAATTACAAGTTATTTCAGCATGAAAAAAGACATTCACAAAAAGTGCTTCTGGCAAAGACATAAATCTAACATTGTAAATTCCAGGCTGGACAGTGAATTAGAAAATGCCTTAGTTGGTGCATTTTCCCAGTTTCACATAAACACGGTTGAAGGATGTTGGGAAGATGAGCAAAATCCCAGCTTCATGCGGCATGGATTGAAGTTTTTAAAGAACTTTTCACACAGCTATAGTCCCCCTCTTGAACTGATAGAGAGAGTAATTGAACAGGGAATAATAAGCAGCAATTCACTGGAACTATTAAAAGAGTCAGTTGATTGCTTAATGTTTGTGTTTGATAAATATCCTGAAATGTTACATATTGACTTTAAACATTTACAGGATTCTTTGGAACGTTTAAACTTCGGAAAAAGTTTTTCGGATCAGAGCCATTTATTGGTTAGCAAGACAGCATACCTTCTTAGGCTTGTTATTTTGTTTTATGAATATGAACTCACAACAAGGAATGTTAGTGATCCTAAAGCAATGAGGAAGACAGCTAGTTATAAAGCATTATCATATGATTGTGGGTTTAACAATGTTAAGGAACTTATTGTCAATTATATAGTGCCTTTGCTACACCACGAACAAACATTTCAGAATGAAATTCCAGAAATTCTACCACTTCTTCAAAAACTGTTACATATAAGTGTAGAGGTTAGTTCAAATTGTAACGCTGCAGCGAAGGCTATTGCTCTTGAATTAAGCAAACCATATTGTTATTTACCTACTATTGATCATAAAAAACTGTACATACAGACGTTAGAATCAACCTTGTTAAGATATTACTTGGTGACTGTGGTCTTAGAAAGACAGTGTGAAAACACTGCACCGTGTTATGATTTTCCTTGCCGATTTCAGGATGTGTTCAACTGTTTCTTTCAAGCATACCCGCCAACGAACATATCAACGCCACCAACTACACCACAGTCTGAAGATGATTCAATGGATAATTATCCTAATAGTACTGCTGGTTATCCTGCAATAAATGTGGAGGAACTCCTGATGTTGTTATTTGAAGTATTACAGTGCTATGTGCAGTGCGACCAAGGTAAAAAAATATTGTTCATCTACAAAGTTTATTGATGAAACGCGTAAAATATGATCAGGTGATCATGATGTTGGTTGTTTAAAAAGGATATATACCAAAAAATATTGGACAATACAAGAGACCATACCAACCATCAACACTTGACTCTTTCCAAAAAATAGGTGTACAAAGACAACTAACAACTCATGATCTAGATACATGTATATACCTGACTTGGTACAAAGTTACTACAAACACATATGCGATTGGGTCAAACCAGGTGACTTGTGTGTTCTACAAGGATCACCAGTCCTTCACCTATCATCTGATACCTTAACTACTAAAATATATGCTACATAGTTTAAGATTTACCCTTATGCCTAGGAACTATTTTGTTTTAAATATTTACTACTATCCAGTATGTTCTTTTCTGACCGGGCCCGATTAGTTGGTTTTACATCTTACAAAGTCTATCCAAATTATTTTTGCAAAGAATTCAGCTCAAACCGGTGCTAGGGGCTGTCTTAAACTTGCAATGAGGTGAGAGTTTTTTTTTTGCTCCGTGTTGTAGGGTCAATGTGACTTTAGATGGAGAACAGCAATAAAAGCACTGTTCCTTGGTTTTTTGTGTTTTTTTGCTGTATATGAACTGATTTTGTGTCATGGATGGATACCCCATATATCCTTTGTTTTTATACGACCGCAAAAAATTTTTGCGGTCGTATATTGGTATGACATTGGCGTCGTCCGAAGACACATTGGTTTTCGCACTCTAACTTTTAAGTTTAAGTGAATGAATCTCTATGAAATTTTACCATAGGGTTCAATACCACAAAAGGAAGGTTGGGATTGATTTTGGGGGTTATGGTACCAACAGTTAAGGAATAAGGGGCCAAAAATAAGCATTTTTGTAACTTCCAGACATAACTTGTGTGTTAGTGTATGAATCTCTCTGACATTGTACCACAAGGTTCCATATCACACAGGGAATGCTGGGATTGATTTTGGGGGTAATTGCCTCAAAATATTAGGAATTAGGGGCCAAAAAAGGGGCAAAAAACAAGCATTTTTCTAGTTTCATGACAATAACTTGTGTGTAAGTGTATGGATCTTTCTGAAATTGTACTACAAGGTTTCATATCACAAAGGGAAAGCTGGAATTGAATTTGGGGGTAATTGCCCAAAACATTTAGGAATAAGGGGCCAAAAATAAGCATTTTTCTAGTTTCCAGACAATAACTTGTGTTCAAGTGTATGGATATCTCTGAAATTGTACCACAAGGTTCCATATCACACAGGGAATGCTGGGATTGATATTGGGGGTAATTGCCTCAAAATATTAGGAATTAGGGGCCAAAAAAGGGGAAAAAAACAAGCATTTTTCTACTTTCATGACAATAACTTGTGTGTAAGTGTAGTGATCTTTCTGAAATTGTACTACAAGGTTCCATATCACAAAGGGAAAGCTGGAATTGAGTTTGGGGGTAATTGCCCAAAACGTTTAGGAATAAGGGGCCAAAAAGGGTAAAAAAATTACCATTTTTCTAGTTTCCAGACAATAACTTGTGTTCAAGTGTATGGATCTCTCTGAAATTGTACTGCAAGGTACCATACCACAAAGGGAAGGCTGGGATTGATTTTGGGGGTAATTGCCTAATCTAACCGTGTATTTAGATTCTTAATTTTTGGTCCCGTTTTCAAATTGGTCTACATTAAGGTCCAAAGGGTCCAAAATTAAACTTAGTTTGATTTTAACAAAAATTCTACATTAAGGTCCAAAGGGTCCAAAATTAAACTTAGTTTGATTTTAACAAAAATTGAATTCTTGGGGTTCTTTGATATGCTGAATCTAAACTTGTACTTAGTTTTTTGATTATGGGCCCAGTATTCAAGTTGGTCCAAATCGGGGTCCAAAATTAAACTTTGTTTGATTTCAACAAAAATTGAATATATGGGGTTCTTCGATATGCTGAATCTAACCATTATTGAGATTTTTGATATTTGGGCCCGGTTATCAAATTGGTCCACATTGAGGTTTAAAGGGTCCAAAATTGAACTTTATTTGATTTCATCAAAAATTGAATTCTTGGGGTTCTTTGATATGCTGAATCTAACCATGTATTTAGATTTTGGATATTGGAATACCACAAAGGGATGGTAAGAATTGTCTTTGGGAGTTATGGCTCAAACCGTTAAGGAATAATGTGCAAAAAAGGGGGGAAAAGGGTTTCCAGGTTAATGGACAATTACTTAAGTACAAAACATAATTTAAAAGGCAGTGTAAGGTTGGTAATTGAAACTCATTTGAACATCTCACCTAAACTGCTTTTAAATTATGTATATTGGAAATTTGCCAAAAACTTTATTATTAATAAATGAACTTCATTGGAAATTTGCCAATATAAAATGTTGCTGATGAAGCTTTTTTGTTTATTTCACCTAAACTGCTTTTAAATTATTTTTTTTTTTTTTGAAGATTCAATTAAAAAAATTAGGGTCAGGGCTAAAAAAACAGGGTCGGTCGGGTTACCGGAAACACAGATTTTGTTTTTCTCGGCCTTAGTTTAATAAACTTCATTGCATTTTTTCTAGTTTCCAGACAATAACTTATGTGTAAGTGTATGGATCTCTCTAAAATTGTACTGGGGTGGGGGGGGGGGGGGGGGGGTGCGAAAAGTTGGGGGGGGGGGGAATTTTTTTTTCCAATTTTTTGGAGTTCATATTTTTTTTCTTCAAAGTTTTTGTAATCTTCAATTGCACAGTATTGCGCAATAGCAAGAATTCTTCAATTGCACAGTATTGCGCAATTTCACAGTATTGTACAATAGCACAATATTGGGCAATAGCAAGAAATCTTCAATTGCACAGTATTGCGCAATAGCAAGAAATCTTTAATTGCACAGTATTGCGCAACAACACAGTATTGCGCAATAGCACAGTATTGCACAATAGCACAGTATTGCGCAATAGCAAGAAATCTTCAATTACACAGTATTGTGCAATAGCAAGAAATCTTCAATTGCACAGTATTGCGCAATAGCAAGAAATCTTCAATTGCACAGTATTGTGTAATAGCAAGAAATCTTCAATTGAAAATAAATACAAATCTTTTACCAATTTCAATGGGATTAATTTAAAGTCTCTAATTTTTGGGGGTTCTTACCTTGTATTACTTTTTTGGATATTGGGCCCCATTTTTAAATTGGTCTACATTGAGGTCAAAAGGGTCCAAAATTAAACTTTGTTTGATTTCATCAAAAACTGAATGATTGCGGCTGTATGATATGCTGAATCTTATTGTGCATTTAGATTTTTTATTTTGGGCCCTGTTTTCAAATTAGTCCATATTAAGGTTTGAAGGGTGCAAAATTAAACTTTTGATTGATTTCAACTAAAATTAAATTTTTGGTGTGTTTTTATATGCTCAATCTAACCATGTTGTTAGATTTTGGATATCAGACCATTCTAGGTAAAATGAATGTCCCATTTCAAATTTTTAAGCTCTTTGACCACATTTATTTTGTGTCAGAAACCAATATTATGTCAAAAATTTGATCACAATCCAAATTCAGACAGTATCAAGCTTGAATATTGTGTCCAAACTTGCCCCAACTGTTCAAGGTTCGACCTCTGCGGTCGTATCAGGCTGCGCTCTGCGAAGCATTTTATTCTATTAACATATGCACAAACTTCCCCCTTGCTTATCTACATGTATTACTATTTCAAACACTTGTGTATCACTTGTTTATCTTTAGAATAAAAGGCACAAGAAAAAGTCTGCACAATACTAGTAAAAAGGTGTTGTGCACACTGAAGTCATATAAATATAAGCATAAGATTCATTATTAATTGTGGGATACCAGGTTGTGTGGATTTTGTGTGTATCTAGATAGATTAACCAAGAATTGAAATGCTTCACAAACATGACAAAGTAATGATTTTCAATATTAATAGGCTTGTATGCAATCTTTGGCATAAGTGCTAATTCAAACATCCAAGAAAATAAGAGTTTTTACATGATCCATGAAGATTTGTATTCACAAAGATAAATGAATCCAGGCTTTCCAGAATTTCATGTTTAATGTCTTTTTGCAAATAACATGTCCAAATAAACATAAGAAGATGTGGTATGATTGCCAATGAGACAACTCTCTACAAGAGACCAAATGACACAGAAATTAACAACTATAGGTACATGTATGTTCATTGTGCATTGCAGGAGAGCATTACTTCTCCCCTTCATACTCCCTTGGAAGGGGAGAAGAATGAAATTTGCTCATGTAGTGGAATAATAAAACATTGCGAAGTTTCACTTGTTATGAAAACAATATTAATGACTCTCATGACTCTAAGAAGTCAGATACTTTTGAGAATAGTATTCCAATTTCGAATCAATGATCATGTCTTTGCAATGCATGAATTCTCAATTTTATATCATGATTATCTGTTGTTGGAAATTTTCACAAACTCCATGTCAAAAAAACATTGAGCATACTCAATTTAAAGTGACAGTCAATCAGTGAATCAGTGTAATGCCTGAGGAAAGTCAAATCTTGATGATTAAGAGATAAACAAAGTTCCTTACCGTTGCGAACTTGTGAGACTCGGTATTTGATATATACAAATGCACATTTGAATGTGAAATCTTTATGCTGGACAAGGCATATGAAGAATTTAGATTATGCAATAATTGGGCTTGTTGCCTCTTGTGCTTTTCTTATCCGGGTAGTGAAATATAAGAAATGAAAAACCCTGGAACCTTGGCTAGTGAGTTTTTTTCAGACATTTTGACCCCATGTCAGTTAACGATCAACAGCCGAAGATTTAATAACATTTGCAAAATAAAACACAAATGAAAACATATAAGCACATGAGAGAAAAAAATCGCCTAGTTATGGTCTGAATAAATTAATGGTATGATATACATTTTATTCATGTACTCAGGTAAAACACTATTTCCTAAAAGCATTTTGATAAATTTCTAATCTCATGGACCTACATCATGTACATTGTACAGGTCTCTAAAATAAATAGTCAAATGACCCCCTGCATCCTCCAATTTATTTTCTTAGAAAGATCTGAACTCTGCTTCAGACATTTAGTCTAGATGTAATTGATACAGTATGAAAAAGGAAGTTTTAAAACAAAAGTGAAAAATGTTTCCCTATTGTGATGAAAGCAAAGATTGCTTACAAGGAACTGGAGGAAGAGAAAAATAACAATTTCTTAATATGGCCGTATGAAATTGGAATTGAAAGATTTCAGAAAAAGTAAAATAAGTAGTTCAGTTTGTTTTCTAACTTGATAAAAATAAGGATTGCTGAGATCTTAATTATTTATACAAAAACCATAAATAGTAAATACAACATTTTATCATGTTTATATATTAAAATTAAACAAAAGGTCAGATGTTACATTTATATTGTTTTATATCATTCAACTGAATTATCCATTGGTTAGCTGGAATTGAATTCTTTCCTTTTTGTCGAGCCTTCGACTTTTGTCGAAAAAGCGAGACATAGCGATCCTACATTCCGTCGGCGTCGGCGTCGTCGTCGTCGTCGTCGGCGGCGTCCACAAATATTCACTCTGTGGTTAAAGTTTTTGAAATTTTAATAACTTTCTTAAACTATCCTGGATTTCTACCAAACTTGGAAAGAAGCTTGTTTATGATCTTAAGATATTATCCAGAAGTAAATTTTGTAAAAAAAAAAATCCATTTTTTCCGTATTTTACTTATAAATGGACTTAGTTTTTCTGCCAGGAAACATTACATTCACTCTGTGGTTAAAGTTTTTGAAATTTTAATAACTTTCTTAAACTATCCTGGATTTCTACCAAACTTGGAAAGAAGCTTGTTTATGATCTTAAGATATTATCCAGAAGTAAATTTTGTAAAAAAAAAAATCCATTTTTTCCGTATTTTACTTGTAAATGGACTTAGTTTTTCTGCCAGTTAACATTTCATTCACTCTGTGGTTAAAGTTTTTAAAATTTTAACAACTTTCTTAAACTATCCTGGATTTGTACCACACTTGGACAGAAGCTTGTTTATGATCAAAAGCTAGTATCTAGAAGGAAATTTTGATAAAATTTTGTTCCATTTTTTCCGTATTTTACTTATAAATGGACTTAGTTTTTCTTCCAGTCAACATTACATACAGTCTGCAGTTTAAGTTTTTAAAACATTTATTAGATTCATAAATTATCCTGGATTTTTACCAAACTTGGACAGAAGCTACTTACATTCAAATGATAGTATAGAGAGGAATATTTTTATTAATTTTTTTTCTCATTTTTGTTGAGCCTGCGATTAACAGCAAAAGTAGGCGAGACACTGGGTTCCGCGGAACCCTTACGAATTTTTTTAATTACTACATGTACATTTTGTACATCAATATGATTTTTTCCAATTTCAACTATGGTTAGTTACCTTAGAATCATTGGATGTTAGTGTACATATATACTACATGTTCTAAGGGTCCCTACATGTATGTTTAATGTTTATACTTGTTCACTGGATAATATGTTGTAAATATGATTTTATCCATTATTTAAGTTGACATTTGGTTATAATTTCCTATTTTTTATTTTTCATCAACAATTTGAGATTTTGTTACCAGGAAATGCTCTTTTATTTATTGGCCTCTGCAAACACTGATAAATGACAAATGTTTTTTTAGGTACATGTACATTGTAGCTAGCTATAGGGATGGTTATAATTAAATTATTCTGTTTTGAAAAAAAATGAAAGAAAAAAGCGTTTGAGCATGTTTAGTAATTATACATGTTATAAGACACATTTGACTTTACCTAGATATAAGAAGATGTGGTATGAGTGCCAATGAGACAATTCTCCATCCAAGTCACAATTTGTAAAAAGTAAACCATATAGGTCAAAGTTTAAATGTTTGTTTATGCAAATACCACAACATGTTGTTTTCTTATAATCCTAATTTGGTACCCTGTTTTTCCAAGTAATTTCTCACAGTACTATGTACAGAGTACTGGTTTAGGCGCAGGATTGGGATTGACCGCTAAATAGATCTGGAAATTGCTCTTGGGTTTCAGTTACATGCATGTACCCATTAGTAAAGTTCAGTGTAAGCCTTCATTATTGTACATGTATGTGGAGGTTCCACTATAACAGAAATATTGGTTTCATTTGTTCAATTAGAGGAATTAAATACAATGACCAATCGGAAATCTGCTATGTGAACGTTTTGCATCACATGAGATGGTCCAATAATCAAACAACTAGAAGGCACATGACTTTTGGAAGTATTTGACTCTGTCAGGTCTTACTTAGGCACATGACTTTTGGAAGTATTTGACTCTGTCAGGTCTTACTTTGGCACACGACTTTTGGAAGTATTTGACTCTGTCAGGTCTTATTTAGGCACATGACTTTTGGAAGTATTTGACTCTGTCAGGTCTTACTTGGCTTTGTTGGCCAAGTGGTTATTTTAACACACTTTTTTGGTGTATCATCATTTAGGATTGAGGTACTCCTGACCTTGACCTCATATTCATTGTTCATTGGTCAATATTAAGTTTTCATTGTTTGGTCTGTTTCTTGTATACTATAAGCAAACATTGTAGGTTGACTAGATTTGGAATATGGAATGGTTGTACTGTGGATTCATTTATTTTCGTGGGTATCAATTTTCGTGGATTGAGGAAATATAGTATATTCGTGAACATTTGATTTCGTGGTTTTTGCCAAAGTCTGCATACAAGCCTTTAGAAGTTTATACTTCGTCGAACCTTAAAATTCGTGGTTCATCTATACCCACGAAATCAACGAAAATTGGTACCCCACGAATAATAATGAATCCACAGTAAGTTGTACATGTCTGTCTGGCTTGGTTATTCTGACCATGGCCTCATTTTCATGGATCATTGATAATTTTAAGTTAATGTGATACTCCTAGTAAACATTATGTTAAGGACTATTAATATAAAATCAATAACATTTCACTCTTGTAACCACAACATGTTACTTCTGTTTGCAACATATGTGATTATCATGATTGTATTTATTAAAACAAATATCAGATAAAGTGAACTGAGTCACTATGAGTGGAAATTAAATATTAATGTTATGTAATTTTATTACTCTGCATCATGTTTGGTGTACTGTTCAATAAAGATAAGAAAAAATTACTATGTTTTTATGATGCATCAAAAATAAAACTTATTTAAAATCAATAATGCATAAACTGAGAGTAGATATCCTCATACCAGACAAGCTAAAGGTTTAACTATTAAAGATGTAACAATTTTACATTGTACATGTAATTAGTATTTTAGATCTTTGAAAACAATAGAAAAGACAAAATTATGCTTCATAGTAAAAACCAAATCAGAAATAATTAAACAATTGTCTGTTGACAGGATGAACTACTTAAACCAAATGACTGTAAGGCCCTTAAAAATATGTAAAAAAAAACATGTCTGTGTAATGACAAGCAAATGAATTTGCAGGGATAAATCTTCCTATTTATATAATGATGTAATTGGTAACTTAAAAAATACTTATTGGATAAAAAACTAGCAAATTAATAACAGTGATTTTTCAATATTTCAGACAAGTCTATCGCCACCCTTAGAAGACGTGCATATATGAAAAAAGAGGATTTTACCATGCAGCTGACAGACAAAGACAAAGACCTGATTTTTCAGGGAATAGAAGAATTACGTGGACGTGTATTGACTCTGACACCAGACTTGACACCAGTGTCAGAAAAATATTTACAGTTAATGCTATGTGTGGTGGATTGGCAGAAATGTATGAATTAAAAAAGATGCACCAATTTCCCAGAAATAAGATACCAGTGTTCAACATGTACACTTAACTTTGCTCAAACTTTGATGTTTTTACTAGCTGTGAATTTATATTTACACACATACTTATGTGCATCAAATGTATATATTTCTACTTTTATAGTGCTATGTCAGAAATGATACATTCTTTGCTGAAACTTCTCTGCAGAATTATATATATGTTACATGTCATTACATATTAATACATTTCCGTACACAATACTTAATTGATGACAACAACAGACCATTGTCTTATTTTTTAGTCCCCTACGGACGAAGTTGAAGGGGACTTTAGGTTTGCACTCCGTCCGTCAGTCTGGCAAATCATTTTTCCACACACTTTTTCTTCATGCTTGATATTTGGTGTATTGTTTTATCATGACAAGTTACAGATCAAGTTCGCATTTTGTTCAGGTCTGATAATTTTGTGCAGAGTTATGGTCCTTTGACTTAGAAATTCACTAAAATAATCAGATTCCCGGCCTTTTTTGTCATTCTTGAAGATATTGATTTGATAATTGGTATATAGTTTTATCATGACAACTTACAGTTCAAGTTCGAATTTTGTTCCAGAATGATGATTTTGTGCAGAGTTATGGTCCTTGGACTTAGGAAATTAACTTAAATAATCAGTTTTCCGCACTTTTTTTCGTCATGCTTGGAGATATTGATATGAAAATTGGTATATAGTTTTATGATGACAAGTTACAGATCAAATTCGAATTTTGTTCTGGTCTGATGATTTTGTGCAGAGTTATGGTCCGTGAAAATTCACTTAAATAATCAGTTTTCAACACTTTTTTTTGTCATGCTTGAAGATATTGACTTGATATTTGTTATATAGTTTACACCATGACAAGTTATAGATCAAGTTAGAATTTTGTTCCAATACAATGAATTTTCAACCGGTAGGGGACTATGTATTGCCATGCAATACTCACAGAATGCTTGTTTCACTGATGCTTTTTAGAACTCTTTTTGTAATTTTTTATGATCGTTTGAAACTGAATTGGTATAATGAATTATCTATATCATTACCAATGAAAAAATTTAAATATAGAGATTAATTTCAGAATTAGATAGAAGAATTATCTGTGTATATCTTCAATTTATATACAGTATTCTGATATTTTTTATGCCCCCGATGTAGCGTTGGGGGCATTAAGTTTTACCCTTGTCCGTCTGTACGTACGAACGTACGTCTGTACGTCCCAAAATTGGTTTCCGTTCTCTAACTTGAGTTTGCCTCAACCAAATGTTATGAAACTTATACACAATGCTTATTACCAAAAAACACAGATCAAGTTTAAATTTTGGTGGTGTCAATTATACCGTTCTAGAGTTATGCATGTTATGCCATCTTCAAATGGAAAAATTGCTGAATTTTCGTTTCTGTTCTCTAACTTTAGTTTGCCTCAACTAAATTTTATGAAATTTATACACAATGCTTATTTCCACAAAACTCAGATCAAGTACAAATTTGGGTAGGGTCACTTTTACTGTTCTGGAGTTGTGTCCCTTTATAACGTTCTATGCAAGCGGGGGCATCATCTGTGTTCCATGGACACATTCCCCATTTATTTTGGGACTATTCAGTTTTTATGTGTATCATAATTTTATGCAATAGTTTACAAACAAAATAGTCTGGAGGAAATTATTGTATTTTAACAACAAAGATGTTGTGCAGAGACTAATAAACCTGAATGTGGAAGCCCTCATTTAGTTTGCTTGTTTGGTGATGAAGGGTGCTTCATAAATTTAAAATCCTTATTTATTTATGTTTTTATGAAATTATGTATTTTTCACAATATCATCACAGACAATCGGTTTATTTTTTTTTTTAATTATCATATATGCATATGTATATATCAGGCATATTCATTATGTTTATAAACACATCTTAGACTGTTTATGTGCTTTTATTGGTCCCATATGCATTAATCAGATATTGCAGGAGGCTATTAACCTCACTATCAGTACAATAAATTTAGTTTTCTTTTTAGATCCATTTAAGATACAAGTCTTTTTGATAGACCATTGGTATTTGGCATGCTGTTGCATCTCATTTGCAAGCAGTAAATGTTGCCATTTCTTCTTCAGTCACATGACAATTTGTATACTGTTCAGTTGTTAAGTTTTGACCATGATTATTATTACAAATAATATCAATACATTTCCATTGCATTGTGTTTAAAGATGTACTGTTTTTGGATTGATGATGAAGAGTTGTTTGTAAAGATGGACTTTGATAAAACATTTTGAATTGTAATAAATCATTTTGGATTGTAATAAAACATTTTGGATTGTAATAAAACATTTTGGATCGTTATAAAACATATTGGATCGTAATAAAACATATTGGAATGTAATGAAACATTTTGGATCGTTATAAAACATTGGATCATAATAAAACATATTGGAATGTAATAAAACATTTTGGATCGTTATTAAACATTTTGAATCATTATAAAACATATTGGATCGTAATAAAACATATTGGATCGTTATAAAATAAATCAGATTGTAATTAAACATTTTGTATCATGTGTGGTAACATGTGAATCATGTCATCTTAAAGAAGAGTTGTGGACAAACCCGTTTTTACATTGTTCTGTGTTAAAGGAGTAGGCCCAGTAAGACCTCTTTTTGGCCCCAAAATATAGCAGTTTTACAAAATTGTTAAAATGTAAATTTTTAGCTATTTATTGGAAAGATGAATACTTCTGCTACATAAATATAGGCTGTTTTTGACAATACAATGCACATGTATCGGGTACTAGCATCATTAAGTCATGCTAAATTACTGAAATCTTCTAAATTTTAGCATTTTGGTTAATTTTTAGACGGTTTCCGTCTGAAATAGAAGTGGCCGCATTTGTGTTCATTCTTAATATTTAAATGTAAGTTGTATTTGATGGTAATACATAACATATATAAAGGTTGAGAATGAACACGGATGCGGCCACTTTCATTTTTAACATAAACCATCTGAAAAGTGACATATTATGGCATATTTGATAGATTTTACATATTTAAGCTTGAATTTGAGCGTTTTTAATGACTAAATAAGTTCAAATCTTTCACATAAACTAATTGAATCAACTGAAGTAGACACTTAAGTGTTTAACAAGTGTCCAAAATCTTTCATCAGATGAATCTGAATTTTGAGGCCAAAATCGGCCCTTACCGGACCTACTCCTTTTAGATGTGCTTTATACACTCCATCAAATTGATAGGTTTTATTTTGTTAAAAATTAGACAAAGACTTTTTTTTTGTAGTAATTTTTTGGAAATTTCATTGTGTCAGAAGTCCTAGTTTTTGAATCAGTATTAATGAACAGAAAATAGTCCTAACTTGTATCTTATTTGTAAGATTTGTAATTGATACTACTTATTTGCATAACTTTAACATAACTCCTTAATACACACTGCTCTTTTTTCTATATTTTTACAATCAAACTGTTAGATTTCATTCATATGTTTTTACTTGTCCTGAAAATCTTGAAATGTTTGTCACTGGAAGTTTAGCTGGCAACAATCAATCTTTGCTCTTTTAAAGCAAATTCGAATTGAAGCTCAGTTTATGATATTGAAAATGTTAACATGATTTCTGATGTATTCTTTGCATACATTCCATGTGAATTCAAAGTACAAAAAATGTATTCCATATTCCATGTGTTATCAATTACAATAAAGGATGTTCCATAAAAGTATACATGGGAATCAGGGAAAGCATTCCTTAATCTTGTGTATAAATGGACAATTTTGTACAGTGAAAGTGTATGAGAAATTGTAAAAGTGCCTCTATAATAGATGGTTACCAAATTATCAAAGTACCTTCCCTGGGTGCCATGTATGAATTAATTGAAAAGCTTTTGCAAAAAAATCTCATTTTGTGGTTATTTTTTGTTGCAATATTCTGAAAATAACGATTGTAAAAGAACCATACAAGATTGAAATTTTGCGACACACCTCATGAATGGCTTCAAATGATTACATATGTCAATCAGTTACAATATTGATGATAGGAATAAATAGTATTTTTCTTTTACTACCTTCCAAGGACATAATTGCATGTATTTTGCAATATAGTCTGCAGTATATTATAAGAGTTATCTTCCTTTGGATGAGTTTTGTAATACATTCTATAGAATTTATATCTTGCCTGATAAGGGTCCATATGAAAAAAGTTCAATGAATTTCTACAGGCTTTTTTATCCTAAATTTTTTTGTTTTAAAACATAACATATATATTATATAAAGTATTCCATCCGTAAGCTTTCCACCCATGAATCACATTTTGCAAGGTTCTTAAATAGAATGGTAAAAATTGTCAAAGCAGTTAATACAGGCAAACAGAATTCATGTATGTAAGAAATCTGCTTCAAACTTAATTCTGTTTATTGACAACATAATATGACATGTAATTTTTAGCTATGTAAGATAGATGGTATTGATGTTTGAGAGTTGAGAGTTTTACTTGTGTTTTACACACATTTTAGTTGTATATATTCAGAAGATGGTTATAATAGGAAAAGTGCATTACTATACATGTAAATAAGTTTGTGTACTTGGAAGTGGGAGCTAAACAAAGTGTGCTTCAGTTTCATGTAATAGAAGGGGAATTGGACTTGGTGCTATGTATGTTTTTGTGTGTTAGCTTTGGAAAGGGATTAATTGTAAGATGGATTATTAAAACGAGACGACATAATTTTATCATTTGACTAAGGCATAACCAGTGTTCAAAAAATGTATGACTTGGTACTTGTAAAATGTATTATATTATATAACAACTCAAATTTAATTTGCCAATCATGGCATCCTGGATGAGCGTATTAACTTTAATCTGAAGGACCTGATAATGCTGGAAATTGAAATAAATAATTGTTTATGATTCTTCTTCTTCATAGAATTATTGCCCTCATTTAGTGATTGTCAAATTTCAGTGCATTTTTTGTTATTTATATTATATTATTTTTTTTTAAAAGCTTCAGTTAATGATTTGTACTTGAAATACAAAGTTGTTTAAAGATAAAGAGAATTCTTTTTAAGCTACAAGTTGTTATTTTGTAGAATAAAAATATTGCAAATAATGATGATAATGATGATAGCTTGTTTATTCCTTTTTATTCATCCACTTTAGAGACTAAAGTCTGTATTGTTGGACCCATATACATATGTATACTTATTGTATGTTGACCAGTATATAGTCTAATAGCTAAAGACTTGTATTCATGACAGGATTAATGCATTGGAAAGTTTAACCTGTTCTACATAAGGGCTATTCCATTAAAATGTATGTGGGAGGGTAGGAAGGGACTTTCAAAATATCCCTGCAACCAAGAACCATTTTTTAGATAATTTTGCATAATGGTAATAGAAGCATACTGAAAAAAGACCCATGACCCACATTCAATAATTAAACTTCCCTTCCTACCCTCCCACATACATTTTAATGGAATAGCCTTAATAATGGTAAAAAGTTATAGGTTCTTTGTTTTATTGCTCTTCAGAACAAAAACTATACAAAGTCTTGTCATATAAACTTTTAACATACAAATGTAGTACTAAGACTTATATCAATGTTAAAACAATTGTGAATATTTTTAAACATAATATTAAATTGTCATTTTAAAAGAAAGGGTCAGTGTCTTTTGTTTAAAAATAGATGAAGCTTGCTGGTTACAACAAGACTGAATATTTATTGGAGCATTTATTGTTAAAGATTTTATCTACCTTGATTAAATATTTTTGTCCCCTGCTCGACGCAGTGGGAGGGAAAAAGAAATGCTGCCTGTCCGTCCAGTCTTGTAAGCACTCTCAATTGTACAAATCATGCTTGATTTTTATGATTAATATTAAAGGATTTTAGGTGCAATGTCTCCGACGAGTTTGAAATTCAGTGCCAAACAACTATTTTTAAAGGAGATATAGCTCTTTGAAATATAAATAATATAGAAAATTGCATTGTGAGCATTCTCAAACCTTCATTTCTTGCAGGATTATTATGAAATTTATATCGTAGGTTTATATATGCAGTGATAATTATTTTGACAGGATTTATGTCTCTTTGAAATGTAATTTTTGAAATTTAGATCAAAGGCTTATATTATTAGCAAAGTTTTGGAAGAGTGCAGACCAACTATTTTTACAGGAGTAATGCCTAAAAATATGCTTGGAAATAGAAATTATATGAAAAATCTCATGCCAACATTTCTTTTATGGTATTTATTTAAAAGTTTAAAAGATTGAGTTATTGCATTTGGACTGGTAAAATTTGTGCAATGTGGGGGACATTGGAATGCTGTTCTTTTATAAAGATTTGATCTATTCTGATTGGAATATTTATTCTGAAGATTAAAACATTCATAACATAAAATAAAATATAGAAATCCAGTTTTGTAACTCAGCTCAGTATTGAAATGTAGAAATGTAGATACATGTAGCTTCATTTATATGATTTACCATTGTTAATTTCATTGTTGAAGATGTTATTTTTTTTCATTTTTTTCATTTTTATACATGTTTCTCAACCAATTAAAAATGGGAAAGTTATTTGTTTGTTGTCTGAATTGCCAATAGTGAAATGGAAGAATGGTGAGCAGGACAAGATCTACAAATAAGTCAACATTGCAAAAAGAACAGTAGAGCCCTTTTTACAAAGTCAATCCAAACATTATGATGGCCTTAGGGTTCAAGTGAGCTTTTGCCACCACATGTCCTTTGTCAATCTGTCATCCTTAGAATTTTCTTTAAAAATTTTATCTGAAGAAACTGCTAAATTGATTGAAACCAAAGTTTGTCTACTTCATCTGTAGGTCATCTAACATGGCTGTCATATCTAAATATAGAACACAGGGGTCAAATAACAGTTTTGGCTTAAATTACTGTAAATTTGGAAATTATTGTTATGTTTTTATACGACCGCAAAAAAATTTTGTGGTCGTATATTGGTATGACGTTGGCGTCGTCGTCGTCGTCGTCGTCGTCCGGCGTCGTCGTCGTCCGGCGTCGTCGTCCGAATACACATTGGTTTTCGCACTCTAACTTTAGTTTAAGTGAATGGATCTTTTTGAAATTTGACCATAAGGTTAAATACAACAAAAGGAAGGTTGGGATTGATTTTGGGGGTTATGGTACCAACAGTTAAGGAATAAGGGGCCAAAAAGGGGCCAAAAATAAGCATTTTCTAGTTTCCAGACAATAACTGTGGAACGGTGTATGGATCTCTCTGAAATTATACTACAAGTTTCCATACCACAAAGGGATGGTTAGGATTTGCTTTGGGGGGTTATGGCTCAAACTGTTTAGGAATTAGGGGCAAAAAAGGGGGAAAAACAAGGTTGTCCTGGTTAATGGACAAATACTTTAGTACAAAACATAATTTAAAGCAGTGTAAGGGAGATAAATCAAATACATCATTGAAATTATCTCCCTTACACTGCTTTTAAATTATGTATAAAGTAATGGTTAATGAACAATAAAGATAATTTAAAACAGTGTAAGGGAGATAATCCAAATACAACGTTTTGGTTACTTCCCTTACACTGCTTTTAAATTATGTTTAAAGAAATACATATTTATAAAGGAAGACCAGTAAAAATATCTGCAAATGTTGCATCTTTTTTTTTTACAAAAAAATCCATATGAAAGATTTGACACTATATTTTTAATTCTATTATAAAATAGATTAAGTTAGCACTATGGTAAATTTAAATGGGTAATTATGGTTGCCAACTCCATTGGAAATTTGAATTGAGATTATGACCATATCTTGAGGGAAAGAATTTTTTTGGGGAAAAAAGGGGGGGGGGGGATAAAAAGAAATTGTGGGGGGTCAATTTTTTCTCATTTCAGATTTCAGAAATTAAAAAGAATTATTCTTCAAATATTATTTTTTTTTCAAATTTCAAATATTGAAAAATTTCAAGAAGTAATCTTTAATTGCACAGTATGGCGCATTAGATTTGTAAAATCTTTGATCACATTTATTTATTTGTTATGCCGAATCTAACAGTGTATTTAGATTTTTAATTTTGGGTCCAGTTTTCAAATTGGTCTACATTAAGGTCCAAAGGGTCCAAAATTAAACTTTGTTTGATTTTAGCAAAAATTGAATATATGAGGTTCTTTGATATGCTGAATCTAAACATGTATTTAGATTTTTGATTTTTGGCCCAGTTTTCAAGTTGGTCCAAATTGGGGTCCAAAATTAAACTTTGTTTGATTTCAACAAAAATTGAATATATGGGGTTCTTTGATATGCTGAATCTAACCATGTATATAGATTTTTTATTTGTGGACCCCGTTATCAAATTGGTTCATATTGAGGTCAAAAGGGTCCAAAATTAAACTTTGTTTGATTTCATCAAAAATTGAATTATTGGGGTTCTTTGATATTCCAAATCTAACCGTATATTTAGATTTTTAATTTTGGGTCCTGTTTTTTAAATTGGTCTACATTAAGGTCCAAAGGGTCCAAAATTAAACTGAGTTTGATTTTAACAAAAATTGAATTCTTGGGGTTCTTTGATATGCTGAATCTAAACATGTGTTTAGATTTTTGATTATGGGCCCAGTTTTCAAGTTGGTCCAAGATAGGGTCCAGTATTTAAACTTTGTTTGATTTCAACAAAAATTGAATATATGGGGTTCTTTGATATGCTGAATCTAAACATGTATTTAGATTTTTCATTATGGGCCCAGTTTTCATGTTGGTCCAAATTGGGGTCCAAAATTAAACTTTGTTTGATTTCAACAAAAATTGAATATATGAGGTTCTTTGATATGCTGAATCTAACCATGTATTTAGATTTTTTATTTGTGGGCCCCGCTATCAAATTGGTTCATATTGACGTCAAAAGGGTCTAAAATTAAACTTTGTTTGATTTCATCAAAAATTGAATTATTGGGGTTCTTTGATATGCCAAATCTAACCGTGTATTTAGATTTTTAATTTGGGTCCCATTTTTTAAAATTGGTCTTCATTGAGGTCTAAAGGGTCCAAAATTAAACTTAGTTTGATTTTAACAAAAATTGAATTCTTGGGGTTCTTTGATATGCTAAATCTAAACATGTGTTTAGATTTTTGATTATGGGCCCAGTTTTCAAGTTGGTCCAAGATAGGGTCCAGTATTTAAACTTTGTTTGATTTCAACAAAAATTGAATATATGGGGTTCTTTGATATGCTGAATCTAAACATGTATTTAGATTTTTGATTATGGGCCCAGTTTTCAAGTTGGTCCAAGATAGGGTCCAGTATTTAAACTTTGTTTGATTTCAACAAAAATTGAATATATGGGGTTCTTTGATATGCTGAATCTAAACATGTATTTAGATTTTTCATTATGGGCCCAGTTTTCATGTTGGTCCAAATTGGGGTCCAAAATTAAACTTTGTTTGATTTCAACAAAAATTGAATATATGAGGTTCTTTGATATGCTGAATCTAACGATGTATTTAGATTTTTTATTTGTGGGCCCCGCTATCAAATTGGTTCATATTGACGTCAAAAGGGTCTAAAATTAAACTTTGTTTGATTTCATCAAAAATTGAATTATTGGGGTTCTTTGATATGCCAAATCTAACCGTGTTTTTAGATTTTTAATTTGGGTCCCATTTTTTAAAATTGGTCTTCATTGAGGTCCAAAGGGTCCAAAATTAAACTTAGTTTGATTTTAACAAAAATTGAATTCTTGGGGTTCTTTGATATGCTAAATCTAAACATGTGTTTAGATTTTTGATTATGGGCCCAGTTTTCAAGTTGGTCCAAGATAGGGTCCAGTATTTAAACTTTGTTTGATTTCAACAAAAATTGAATATATGGGGTTCTTTGATATGCTGAATCTAAACATGTATTTAGATTTTTGATTATGGGCCCAGTTTTCAAGTTGGTCCAAATTGGGGTCCAAAATTAAACTTTGTTTGATTTCAACAAAAATTGAATATATGAGGTTCTTTGATATGCTGAATCTAACCATGTATTTAGATTTTTTATTTGTGGGCCCCGCTATCAAATTGGTTCATATTGAGGTCAAAAGGGTCTAAAATTAAACTTTGTTTGATTTCATCAAAAATTGAATTATTGGGGTTCTTTGATATGCCAAATCTAACCGTGTTTTTAGATTTTTAATTTGGGTCCCATTTTTTAAAATTGGTCTTCATTGAGGTCCAAAGGGTCCAAAATTAAACTTAGTTTGATTTTAACAAAAATTGAATTCTTAGGGTTCTTTGATATGCTAAATCTAAACATGTGTTTAGATTTTTGATTATGGGCCCAGTTTTCAAGTTGGTCCAAGTTGGGGTCCAAAATTAAACTTTTTTTTGATTTCAACAAAATTGAATATATGGGGTTCTTTGATATGCTGAATCTAACCATGAATTTAGATTTTTTATTTGTGGGCCCCGCTATCAAATTGGTTCATATTGAGGTCAAAAGGGTCCAAAATTAAACTTTGTTTGATTTCATCAAAAATTGAATTATTGGGGTTCTTTGATATTCCAAATCTAACCGTGTATTTAGATTTTTAATTTTAAGTCCTGTTTTTTAAATTGGTCTACATTAAGGTCCAAAGGGTCCAAAATTAAACTTGGACATTGGACCATAATAGGTAAATTAAAAAAATTCAAGTTCTTAGACCACATTCTTTCTGTGTCAGAAACCTATGCTGTGTCAAATATTTAATAACAATCCAAATTCAGAGCTGTATCAAGCTTGAATGTTGTGTCCATACTTGCCCCAACTGTTCAGGGTTCGACCTCTGCGGTCGTATCAAGCTGCGCCCCAGCGAAGCATTTTATTATCATTGTGAAAAATGCAACCGGGTTGTAATCGCAATAATTTAAACTCGCATTTGGGATTTTTTATATGAATGATGCAGGATTTTTCTCAGTATCGCAAAAATGATAATTGCATTTTGGTCTTAAATGACAAAATTGCAAAAATGAATGCACACTATTTCTGAACTTCCAGTAAAGCATTAAGAGAAATAATGACGGGGTTAAAATGATCAGCATAACAAGTTCTGTTTACCTTGAAAATTTTTAGGGAAAATATGTCTTCCTGGTTTGGAGTTATTGCCCCTAAAATGTTGATTTTTAACTATTTTGGCATTTTCTTGCCAGCGTTTCAAAAACTAGAGGAGCTAGGTCAAAAGTTTGAATTGAAAAAATGATCAGCAAGATGTCTCCACTCTGCGAATTGAAGAAAAATCTAACAACTCATTTTGGAGTTATTGTCCCTAATAAATTGATGTTTTCCAAATTTTAGCAGTTGTTGGCTGTTATTGTAGGACTATAGGAGCTAGGTCAAAAGTGTACATGGCAAAAAGGATCAGCACATCAAGATGTATCTTCCCTTCAAATTAGAGAAAAATCAGTCAACTTGTTATGTAGTTACTATACCCCACAGAACTAAGTTCCGTTCGGTATAATGTTTTTGACCAGTCTGTTCATACATCATTCTGTCTGTCCTTCAGTCCTGTTCTTGTGATTGCAACTCCTCTGAAACCACACAACAGAATTTCAGGAAACTTTGTAGATAATAATGACGTAT